AGATGGCACTGATTTATTTGTGGAGGTCTTTGTATTTACTTATGTTCTTAAACACTTTCAAAGGTCTATAAGAAAGCATGATAGACCGTGATTTGTCACAGTTATGTCTAGTCGATTTTCCCGGATTTACCACTAATTGTGGTGAATTATGTTCCAACCAATTTTCTTTGAGAGGAAGGTTGATCGCGCGACATATGGACCGATGTACGTACTTTGCAGTGCAGTCAATAATCTCAGGATTTTCTCCACATACGCGGCAGGATAACATTGATAGTTCCTGTTTGGTAGGCACTGATCCTAAGCGGCGATTATGAACACTTCAGTTTCTGGTTTGAGTCCAGTACCTGATAAGTAAATGTTTGATCTACATCAGGATCGCTGGCTCTCATAGGACGTAGAAAGTTTTTTTTTCTTCTCCCTTTTTATCCTAATGTTTTTAAGGTTAATTTGTTTTGTTGCGTTTTTATTTGTTTTGTTTTTTCAATTGTAGGATAAGCATTTCTACTAGTTCTGGTTCTGTTTTATTTAGCTGTAGCTGAATATATGTTATGAAGTCTTTTGTCATAACGTTCTGTTTTCTTGGTACCGTCGTGATTCAGATCCAGTCTGTAAGATCTGATGAAAGATTGTCTGCTTTAAGACCTAGAAGATCCGTCCTTTTGAAGCCATTTTCCGTTATTGACACCAGAAAACAGTTGTATCTAACTGATAGTTAAGACATTTCTGATCGAGTTGGTCGCCATGCATGGCATTCTGTTGAAAGTCAAGATCTGAAGAGGCTATTTAATACATGATTTGAGGTCTTAGTGTTCCAGAATGCGAAAGCCGGGGCCAGAATGGTCAACGATTGGCTGGAGTGTCTCGTGGGTGTAGTATTTCTGACAGTGATGGATTGCCTTTGTCTGGGTTTTGGATATGTTCAAAACTGCGAATTTACCAAAAGTCCGCAAGAATTCTGAAGTGTTGATACACCTCCCACACCCAGGTTCGAGAGACCGGATAAGACAGCCCGTAGAGGGACGATGAGCCAACGTGTGAGATTCGTTTCTGTGATGTCATTCTTCCCGCTGCCTCTTAGAATCCAAGCTGCCACCGCTCTCTCCTAATAAAATGAATAAGAAAAAGAAATAGTCCTTTTTGTTGAAACCATGTTATGTAGTAGCATGAGCATCCAGAGAAGACACAGAATTCAATATTAGGTTAATATTTCGGTTTTATAGCATCTTATGGTGTTGGACAAAAGAACTCTTAGCAAAGCCTACCTTATGTTCGATTTCCTTATCTCTTACGGTAACTGTTCCAATATGCCTAGGTATTTGAAGTGTTTAGAATGCATTAATTCTACATTCTGAAATTTTATGATGGATTCCGTGAATGTACCGTCACTTGGAGGTTAAGACATTCCAGTCTTAACCTCCAAGTCTAGGGTCAATCATTACGTATTCTTCATATCCTCACTGCTTACTTTTTACTCTTTCATTTCGTTCATTAACACTCTACGTTAAGTGGCTGTTGAGTCTTTTATTGAGTGAAATTTGATTAAAAACAAAGATCGCGGTTTCTGTTTTGGAAAAGTTTATCTTAAGTCCTATTTCTTGGTACACTTGGTATTCATTCTTTCTGAGTTCTTTCTATAAACCCTCACACCAGACTCATCTTAATTTAGTAAATATTTATTTTTTTCTATCTTGCTTTCAATCGAATGGTGTCTCTCTTTCTATTCTTTGATAGTCTCTCTCTTTCTATTCTTTAATGGTATCTCTCTTTCTATTCTTTCATGGTCTTTCTATTTTTTAACGGTCTCTCTCTCTCTATTCTTTAATGGTCTCTCTCTTTCTCTTCTTTGATGGTCTCTCTCTTTTTATTCTTTGATAGTCTCTCTCTTTCTATTCTTTAATGGTATCTCTCTTTCTCTTCTTTGATGGTCTCTCTCTTTTTATTCTTTGATAGTCTCTCTCTTTCTATTCTTTAATGGTATCTCTCTTTCTATTCTTTGATGGTCTCTCTCTTTTTTTTCTTTGATAGTCTCTCTTTCTATTCTTTAATGGGTCTCTCTTTCTCTTCTTTGATGGTCTCTCTCTTTTTATTCTTTGATAGTCTCTCTCTTTCTATTCTTTAATGGTATCTCTCTTTCTATTCTTTGATGGTCTCTCTCTTTTTATTCTTTGATAGTCTCTCTCTTTCTATTCTTTAATGGTATCTCTCTTTCTCTTCTTTGATGGTCTCTCTCTTTTTATTCTTTGATAGTCTCTCTCTTTCTATTCTTTAATGGCATCTCTCTTTCTATTCTTTCATGGTCTCTCTTTTATTTTTTGATAGTCTTCTCTTTCTATTCTTTAATGGTCGTCTCTCTCTTTCTCTTCTTTGATGGTCTCTCTCTTTTTATTCTTTTGATAGTCTCTCTCTTTCTATTCTTTAATGGTATCTCTCTTTCTATTCTTTGATGGTCTCTCTCTTTTTATTCTTTGATAGTCTCTCTCTTTCTATTCTTTAATGGTATCTCTCTTTCTCTTCTTTCATGGTCTCTCTCTATTTTTTAACGGTCTCGCTCTTTCTAATCTTTAATGGTATCTCTCTTTCTCTTCTTTGATGGTCTCTCTCTTTTTATTCTTTGATAGTCTCTCTCTTTCTATTCTTTAATGGCATCTCTCTTTCTATTCTTTCATGGTCTCTCGTTATTTTTTAACGGTCTCGCTCTTTTTATTCTTTAATGGTATCTCTCTTTCTCTTCTTTGATGGTCTCTCTCTTTTTATTCTTTGATAGTCTCTCTCTTTCTATTCTTTAATGGCATCTCTTTCTATTCTTTTTATTCTCTCTATTTTTTAACGGTCTCGCTCTTTCTATTCTTTAATGGTATCTCTCTTTCTCTTCTTTGATGGTCTCTCTCTTTTTATTCTTTGATAGTCTCTCTCTTTCTATTCTTTAATGGTATCTCTCTTTCTCTTCTTTGATGGTCTCTCTCTATTTTTATTCTTTGATAGTCTCTCTCTTTCTATTCTTTTTATGGTATCTCTCTTTCTCTTCTTTGATGGTCTCTCTCTTTTTATTCTTTGATAGTCTCTCTCTTTCTATTCTTTAATGGCATCTCTCTTTCTATTCTTTCATGGTCTCTCTCTATTTTTTAACGGTCTCGCTCTTTCTATTCTTTAATGGTATCTCTCTTTCTCTTCTTTGATGGTCTCTCTCTTTTTATTCTTTGATAGTCTCTCTCTTTCTATTCTTTAATGGTATCTCTCTTTCTATTCTTTGATGGTCTCTCTCTTTTTATTCTTTGATAGTCTCTCTCTTTCTATTCTTTTGGCATCTCTTTTATTCTTTGATGGTCTTTCTCTTTTTATTCTTTTAGTCTCTCTCTTTGATTCTTTAATGGCATCTCTCTTTTATTCTTTGATGGTCTCTCTCTTTCTATTCTTTAATGGTATCTCTCTTTCTATTCTTTGATGGTCTCTCTCTTTTTATTCTTTGATAGTCTCTCTCTTTCTATTCTTTAATGGTATCTCTCTTTCTCTTCTTTGATGGTCTCTTTTTATTCTTTGATAGTCTCTCTCTTTCTATTCTTTAATGGTATCTCTCTTTCTATTCTTTGATGGTCTCTCTCTCTTTTTTATTCTTTGATAGTCTCTCTCTTTCTATTCTTTAATGGCATCTCTCTTTCTATTCTTTGATGGTCTTTCTCTTTTTATTCTTTGATAGTCTCTCTCTTTCTATTCTTTAATGGCATCTCTCTTTCTATTCTTTGATGGTCTTTCTCTTTTTATTCTTTGATAGTCTCTCTCTTTCTATTCTTTAATGGCATCTCTCTTTCTATTCTTTCATGGTCTCTCTCTATTTTTTGACGGTCTCGCTCTTTCTATTCTTTAATGGTCTCTCGCTTTCTCTTCTTTGATGGTCTCTCTCTTTTTATTCTTTGATAGTCTCTCTCTTTCTATTCTTTAATGGTATCTCTCTTTCTCTTCTTTGATGGTCTCTCTCTTTTTATTCTTTGATAGTCTCTCTCTTTCTATTCTTTAATGGTATCTCTCTTTCTCTTCTTTGATGGTCTCTCTCTTTTTATTCTTTGATAGTCTCTCTCTTTCTATTCTTTAATGGCATCTCTCTTTCTATTCTTTGATGGTCTTTCTCTTTTTATTCTTTGATAGTCTCTCTCTTTCTATTCTTTAATGGCATCTCTCTTTCTATTCTTTTCTCTCTCTATTTTTTGATGGTCTCTCTCTTTTATTCTTTAATGGTCTCTCTCTTTCTCTTCTTTGATGGTCTCTCTCTTTTTATTCTTTGATAGTCTCTCTCTTTCTATTCTTTGATGGTCTCTTTCTCTCTTTTTATTCTTTGATAGTCTCTCTCTTTTTCTATTCTTTAATGGTATCTCTCTTTCTATTCTTTGATGGTCTCTCTCTTTTTATTCTTTGATAGTCTCTCTCTTTCTATTCTTTAATGGCATCTCTCTTTCTATTCTTTGATGGTCTTTCTCTTTTTATTCTTTGATAGTCTCTCTCTTTCTATTCTTTAATGGCATCTCTCTTTCTATTCTTTGATGGTCTCTCTCTTTTTATTCTTTGATAGTCTCTCTCTTTCTATTCTTTAATGGTATCTCTCTTTCTATTCTTTGATGGTCTCTCTCTTTTTATTCTTTGATAGTCTCTCTCTTTCTATTCTTTAATGGCATCTCTCTTTCTATTCTTTTTGATGGTCTCTTTTTATTCTTTGATAGTCTCTCTCTTTCTATTCTTTAATGGCATCTCTTTCTTTCTATTCTTTGATGGTCTTTCTCTTTTTATTATTTGATAGTCTCTCTTTCTATTCTTTAATGGGTCTCTCTTTCTATTCTTTTTCATGGTCTCTCTCTATTTTTTGACGGTCTCGCTCTTTCTATTCTTTAATGGTCTCGCTTTCTCTTCTTTGATGGTCTCTCTCTCTCTATTCTTTAATGGTCTCTCGCTTTCTCTTCTTTAATGGTCTCTCTCTTTCTATTCTTTAATGGTCTCTCTCTTTCTATTCTCTGATGATCTCTCTCTCTCTCTCTCTCTCTCTCTCTCTCTCTCAATTCTTTGATGGTTTCTGTTTCTGTTCTTTTATGGTCTCTCTGTCCATTAATGGTCGCAGAATATACAGTCTTTCTTCCATCTTCGTTTCGTCGCAAAAAGCAAATTCCTAATATTATGAGTTACATTTGAGAACGCTTATTTGTATTTACCTAAACTTTTCTTCCTTTAATTGAAATCTTTCTTTCAAGCGTCCCAGTGATTTTTTTCTTCTTCAAGGGTAACAGAGGATCTTACAAATATACAAAGTCCTTCGGATAAGTTATTTGGTAGGAAGTGAAACGACGCGAGTGTTTTTTGTCGTATCGCCAGAGTCACGTAATACCACGTTTTTCAATTCATTCGATTCGTGGTATTATTTTTTCATTTGTTGTTATTATTACTTTATTGTTTTTTTTTTTGGTGGGGGAGTGAGATCTTTGGCGAGGCGGGGGCGCTAAACATTTACTTTTTTCTTGACCTCAAATTGGACTTTTTTTTTCTTCCAAGTTCTTTTGCTTTGTTTTTCTTCTTTCTTCTCTGTTTCCGCCCCCCACCTATCATGTATAGAAGATTTTTTTTTTGTTTTATTGTTCGTTTTTTTTTATTCTGCTTTCGTGTTTCTATTTTTGTATATAATTTTTATTTGTTCATTCGACAGATTTTGAGTTTTTTTTTATTATATATTCGTTATTTACCTTTCTCTTTCATTTTATTTCTTCGGTTTCGTTAATCCATCTTTCTTTCTTTCTTTCTTTTCTTTCTTTCTTTCTTTCTTTCTTTCTTTCTTTCTTTCTTTCTTTCTTTCTTTCTTTCTTTCTTTCTTTCTTTCTTAGTCAATCTCTGTTTTTCTTCTATCTCAACTCGTCATTTTGTCTTTCCTGTGTCATTCTCTTTGACAGTCTCTTTCTTTCTTTCTTTCTTTCTTTCTTTCTTTCTTTCTTTCTTTCTTTCTTTCTTTCTTTCTTTCTGTTTAATTTTGTTTCCTTCTTCTTCACCACAATGATTTTCCTTCCTTCCTTCCTTCCTTCCTTCCTTCCTTCCTTCCTTCCTTCCTTCCTTCCTTCCTTCCTTCTTCTTCTTCTTCTTCTTCTTCTTCTTCACTAATTTTCTTGCAATCTTTACATCTTCTTTGACTTCTTCCTCGCCTTAAACTTTGCCCTGTGTAATTTGTTTTTAACTTCATCAAAGGTACAACTTACATACACATACATACAAAAACACCCACGAGCACACGCACACACATACATACATATATATATATATATATATATATATATATATATATATATATATATATATATATATATTCACTTCCCTAAGTAAGTTATATTGTTTATACGCCACCCAAGCTGTTTCGTTTAAGCTTTTTTTTTTCAATTAAAAATACCTTCCTGAGAATAACGAATGAATCGTTAAAACGATTATAGAGGCGCGCACAAATCTACACACAGAAGCACTCTTATAAATATACTATATATATATATATATATATATATATATATATATATATATATATATATATTGTTTAATACTTACTATACTTATATGGTAAACTGTGCTCAATATTAGAGATGTAATAGCTTAGATACCTCCAATAATTCGGTATACCTAAGGTTTAAATGTATTTTTCATAAAGAAAAAATCCTTTTTGAAGCTTTCCCCCAGCTTCAATTGAAAGCTGAAGGATTAAATTTTCTAATCCCAGAAAAAAAGAATACTGTGAAGTATTTCAAATAGAAATTTGAATAATTTTTAGTCGATTCTTCCGAAAAACTAATCGAAACGGCCATTTTAAACATTTTTAGAAAAATGTACAGAAAACTTAATTTTTCGTTTTTGAAAACCCTGCTAAAATAAAATATACATTTCTGAAACGTTACTTTCGTAAAATTAGCATATTTATTAATCTGCTGTGAAACAAATATCGCTTACTTATAGCATAACATTTTCTAGACAAACATTTCTTGACCTCGGTGTATTGTTATTTTCACGTCTCCATAATTTGATAGCTGAATGTGTTGACAGGTTCAGTATGGGGCATCAAAATTGACATATTTTTATGAATTTTAAGTAAGAACTTTTTTCTTGTTTCTTATAATAATTTAAAATACCATAAAAATTTCTTACATTATTGAGTTACCTCTATAATGGTATTTCTTTATTTAATAGTTAAGATAATGATAAATAATTTTATTATTTATTAATATTACATTAAGTTATTACATTTTTAATTTAATAACTGAGATCATAATTAATAAAATTATTATTATATTAATAATTAAATTATATCATTCACTTATTAATTGTTTAAATTGATATAATTTTATTATCTCAATTTAATTTTTAATTTAATAACTGAGAGTGAGATAAGCCGAAGACCTTTATATGTCAAGGGGCTTTCCTTAAGGGGGAGACAGCCTTGAAACATGTGACCTTTTAACCATAATATCACTTACGAGAAGCGATGATATAAAAATAAAAACGTAAATTTCGTAAGAGGTACCTAATAATAGTAGCTATAATTCTCAGTTTAAATTGAAAAATCAAATTAACTTCTCTACGCATGTTTTGCGCGAACAAGGGCGTAACAAATGGGAATAATGTGACGCTTTATTGTTTTCATGTACGATCTTCCGTACATTTGAATTACGGCCGTTTTATGGACACAAATGCCATAAAAAATGGGTTTTTAATATACAAGTGTTCCACTGATTTTAATAAGCTTTACAGTTTATAATCTGTAAAGATACATCTTTTAAATAACGCCATTGACTAAACTGTACATAATTTTCACTAATTTTAGAATATTTAACAACTTTAATTTAAAAATAATAAAATAATGTAAGAAATAACAAATAATTGTTTTTAAAATTCATTTTTCATCGAAAAAGTTTTTTGCGTTTAGACAATATCATCCATACTCATAAAAACAAATAAAAGCAACTAAAAGCATTTGAAATTAAATAATATTTTTATTTTATTGAGTTGTGTATGTTACAATTCAGAGAAGAATTTCAGGTAGAGTTGGTCCAACTAAAAGAAAATGATTTGCTTTCATCAAAGCCTTGTGCTTTTAACTAATATAATCACTAAATTGTCCAATTTTGAATTTCTACAGTTTTCATAAAATTAGTTATGGCGCGGTGGGGGGGGGGGGTAATAAATATAAGAAAAATATTTTTGCCATGACTTTAAAAAAGGAAAACATATTTATAATAATTTCCTTCATTTGTGAATAGTTTCTGAAAGTTTCATGAACATCCGAAAAATTATTTTTATTTTTGCAAGATTTTCAAAATTAATGTCTGTCATACAGAAGAAAAACGCGCTAAAATTTTATATGTTATTTAGTGGTTCCGCTGACACAAAGAGAAACAATGTTTTTTTTTAATCAAAAGTTAGAATGTTCTAAAAAGGACAAATTAAAAAAAAAACAAAAAACTTGTTCTTTGATCTTAATAATAACATAAAACTTTTGACGATAAAATTTTGTTTTCGTCGAGTCTGGCATCTGTTTCATCATGCTGTGCATATTTTTTTTGGCGATTTCATGAAGATACTTATAGCTTTTATAGTTTATCAAATGCTGACACAAAAACAAATTTCTAGTACACTATCTACAACCAAATTATGGCCAAAAAAATCTATAATCCCATCATGTAAATCGAATACATTTTATTTCAAATACCAAAACTTAGAACCAAAGTAAACAAATAATACATAAAATAAATAAATGAAAACTAGATAATATATAAATAAACACTTATAGATCACAATTATAAATAACACTAACATAATTTGCGCCCATCCGCTTCCTCTAAGCACTCTTAAGCATTAACGCCACACAAAAGAACAGCAAGACCTGGTTTATCCTTTCCCAAAATTCTCACTGTGACCTTACATATATAATCCACTAAAAGAGAAGTGACACTTCGTCTGAAGATCACTATAGAGTGTTCAATTCTATGACAACATTTATTGCCTTTCTATCTGTCTTTGTCTCTATTTGTTTCTCTTACTCACTTTCTCTCTTTCACTATCCTGATTACTTCGGAGTGTGCTGTTCAAACTCCTTGCCCCGGGACAGAGAGGATCCCCAGACAAGACTATGTATCACGAGGTCTACGGTGAATTTTTGGCCGAGCCTACGGGCTCGAATACCCCACATTAAATTCGGATTTGTGCCACTTCTAATCGCATGAGGCGGTTAGTGAATATCTCATTTTATCTCTTTCTCTTTCTTATTTTTTCTTTCTCACTTTTTCTGTATATATATATATATATATATATATATATATATATATATATATATATATATATATGTATAGATTTTTTCTGTAGTTCACTGCTACCAGCAAGCAGAATTTTTTCTCCTGATGATGGCCATGTTGGTCGAAACTAGTCTAGGTATCTAAATGAAATAATAATTATAAAACGAAAGAATATTAATCTACAACATACTGTGTCTGAAGATTTTAATTTTTTATTTTTATTTTTTATTATATATATATATATATATATATATATATATATATATATATATATATATATATTTGGTTGGATAGATGTGAGTTTGTGACCATGGGTTTCACGCTTTAGCGATCGTCAGACAAAGAGCGTGAAACCCAGGGTCACAAACTCACATCTATCCAACCAAATATGTTAGCTCTATCTCTGATATTGAGCGCTTTCTAATAAGTACCGCGCATATAATATATAAATAATTATACATATATATATTTATTTATATTTATATACACTTTTCATATATATATATATATATATATATATATATATATATATATATATATATATAGGTATCTTCATGAGATCGCTAAAGACAGAGCATAGCTTGATGAAAAAGTCGCCAAAATTGAAAAAAAATTTTAGCGTCTAAATGTTTGTTATTATTAATAGGAAAGATCAAAGTATTTTTTAATTATTTCTTTTTCAAATTTTTCCTTCTTTTTAGAACATT